TATCTTAACTCTATTGGAAAATAAAACAAGCTATAATTTGAAAACAAGGTCATATCGGACATATGTTTATATGAACTTTTACTCTTATTTTTGTATCCTGAATCCCCCATTGCAATACTTCCCACTTTTTAGGATACACCCTGTATATATATAATATTTTATAATATATTTATTATATCCCCCTTCTTATATAGTTACGCGAGATGGAAGCCACAGAGAGGGACTAAATGAAATCGCGAGTCTCTGTGAAATACAGGTGACCCTCGGCGACGAGTAGGAAGTCACGGGTCGCTCTGTGAAATGCAGGTGACCTTCGGTGACGAGTAAGAAGTCACGGGTCGCTCTGCGGAATGCAGGTGGCCCTCGGTGACGAGTAAGAAATCACGGGTCGCTCTGCGAAATGCAGGTGACCCTCAGTGAAGAGAAAGGAAGTCATGGGTCGCTCTGCGGAATGCAGGTGGCACTCGGTGACGAGTAAAAAATCACGGGTCGCTCTGCGAAATGCAGGTGACCCTCGGTGAAGAGAAGGAAGCCACGGGTCGCTCTGCGAAATACAGATGACCCTCGGTGACGGGTAGAATGTAAGAGAAGAGATTTGAAGTAATATTTCCGCGAAGGGGTTAGACAGATTACGAGAGTAAAAAAAAATCGAAATATGAATTAATAGAAAAAAAATTATCCAAGCATTATTTCAGAAAGAAGAGAAATAAATAAAAAGAGATGGCAAAAATTTAGTGACTTACTATTTATTGAGAGCATCGTTAAATTAAATTACAAAGCCTTGCGGGAGTGAGAAGATCTTGGCTCGTGCTGTCAGATTGGATGGAGATTGCTGTGGTCGCAGGTGGTTTCACAACACAATTTGGAGTCTTACACTGGATAGTTTTCCTTTTCACTCACAACTTAACTTCCTAAAGCCTCATGTAAGAGATAATGATTGTGCTAGCAACTAACTGTTTAAAGAACGCTGATGATAACTGTATTGAGCGGTAAAGATATACTTGGATAAAAATCGAAAAAAGCTGCTGCGGTCCAAGGGAGGACTTCGCATATATAGCATCTGGATATCTCCTCGCGTACCTCTCCATTAGGCAAGCAGAATCTCTTTTATCAAATCAAATGGTTAAATTTACCCTTCTCATGGGTTGAAGGCGTCTCCCTTCCAAAAGATGGTCCAGGCGATTAAGGTCTATTGGTGTAGGCTTTTGTTTTTTAAGATTAAGCCTTGCCCACTGGAGAGTCCGCCCTGACCGGCTAAGTTGATAGTTGTATCATTTCACTTGAGTTTTATCTCAAGCGGATAACGCGCAAGGGTGGTCTGGCAGGCGAGCACATAGTGTCAAGTGTCGCGAATTTTGTCACGGATCATGATTAGAGCGATAGAGTATCGTTTTAATTATTAGGAAGACTTCCGTTCAAGGGTCTCCTTATATCATGCTTTCACTAGTCGGCTTTAGAGTAGAAATATTATTTCATCCGTCCATTTATCTTTTGCATACGCGTGATTTAAATTTCGAGCGGTCTCACAGCCCAAGTATCTTTATTTCCTGTTTAAAATTCTCGCGTCTTTGTGTTTAGGTTCTGATATCGTTTCTAAAATATTAATCTCGCCTGCTAGATATACCTTGGTTTAATGTTTGTGAAGTGCAAAGAGTTCCAGAGTATAGGCGTTTAGTATTACATGAAAGAAAAGAATCGTGGAGTCCACTGGACCTAAGAATATGATATATGTAATTATAAAATACATGTAAAAATAATAATAATAAATGTTGAGATATTGTAAATATAAAAAAATCTCAACTTGTACGCAAAAAAAGTTTAATATTTATCCCTAAAAAACAACTTTTAAAAAAATTTTTCCTTGAAAGTAGCACAGGTAAGAGAGTCGTTGCCACCTGGGATACGATGTAAAGTCAAAAAATAACCATCCTCGGTCATGATGACGTGAGTTTCTACGGGATAACCCGCTCTTCTTATCATCTCCGAATAAAAAAAGAATCAGTAAAAAAGAAGATACTTTCAAAATTCTAATGTTACAATAAATTTGTGCAATAAAATAAATATGATATTTATTTTCGAAATAATGATGAAGCGGTTCTACAATAATAATAATATAAATGTATAAAACGTTAATATGAGTAAATAATATAAAAAGAGATTATATAATAATAACACAAAAGTAAATATTTACGAAATTCAAATATATATAGAGGAAAGTAGGGTAAAACCGGGTAGGCGGGTCAAACAGGGTATCTCTGTTTCTTTGTGATGAATGCTACTATCTTTGGCTAACTCGTGTTATTAGTTGTAGATTGATGCTATTATTATTTTAAGATGAACCATACACACGTGCACACGATATTTCTTTTTTGAGAGAAGTTCAAAATCTTCGGACCAAAAAAGATCGATATCAGGGCAACAATATCAAATCGTTATGGATTTTTCTACACAGAGCATCTGCTTCGGTACATGCAGCTTTGCATTCTGTACATATTAGAGAGTATATCGCATTAGTTTTGATCGTCACTTTGTACACCGAAATATACAGCCGCCGTGTTTGTTATTTTCTTCGTGTTGGGGCAAAACCGGGTATCTACATACTTCATGTAATGAAAAAAAGAAAAACTGTTATCCTGACTTTGTCTCCTTACAAAAAGCAATTGAAAACGAAAACTATCACTCAGAAAAAGAAACAACTAAAAAAAAGCTTTTTGAAACCACTAAAGTTAAAAAATTAAATAAGAAAGTCCTGCAGCAACGTAAAATAATCAGGAAAACTACAACGGCCCCTCAATGTCGGGTGCGCAACAGGGGTCCGAACGGGAGTCGCACTCGTCCAAATCTCAAGCAACCAAGTAGATAAGCCCAAAACAAACATAAGACCCGTGACTGTAAATCTCGACAAACATAGTCGTGTGCCTACCATTCAAGCCGATATTGATAACGTATTTACCAATATAACTTTCATGTTAGATACGGGATCTGGGCCAAATATAATCAAAGAAAATCTTGTTCCCGAAGAAATAAACATTAATTACACAAATATTCTCAAATTAAACGGTATAAATAATTATCCTGTCTACATTTTAGGTAAGATTATGTTAACTCTTTTTGGAATACCGGTAATATTTCATATTGTATCTAACGATTTTCCGATCTCACAATCCGGCATCTTAGGAAACAATTTCTTTAAACAAACCTCATCGAAAATAGATTACGCACAAGGACACTTGGATGTCTCTGGAATCAATATACCGTTCTTATCACCTGAAGCCATCATAGTAGCTCGGCGATCGGAATCATTATTTTATGTAAAAATAGAAAATCCAAAACTAAAAGTAGGATACATACCAAGACTAAAGGTGGCACACGGAATATATTTGGAAGACACCATCGTGGAGAACGTTGCTGGAAAGACATATTTAAATGTCATAAGTACTTTGAATGAAGAAGCGGAAGTAAATGTTCCGACTTTGCGCCTAAAACCATTGGGCGAATTATTAGACGACCATGATTCAAAAATCGAGGCTCTAAACAGTCCAGAAAAGCCAATGAATAAGAAAAAAGAAGAAACCACTTACGGAACATTTATACATTGTAACGATACGTTACCAGCCTCCGTTACTAACGGCCTAGCGGGCCGATCCACCGCGCGCTTTTCGAGGCTCGGCGCTTATGGCATCCCTAAGCTCCCACACCCGTGTCTCGGCCCCACCGTGGGGCCGCCCCACCACGCGCCGACTCGCGTGAGTGGGAGGCCAGCCGCCGGTATGTAAGGCGCTCCGGCGAGCGTAGCGTTACCAGTTCCCGATCCCGATTCCTGTCACGTACAACTCTCTGGACCCTGAACCGACTCCCGCGTTATACCAGGCTACGGGCTTCCCGTAGTTAGGCCGGGCTTCCCGGTTGCCGGAACGGTGCATCCTGATATCCCGCGTTATACCAGGCTACGGGCTTCCCGTAGTTAGGCCGTGCTTCGCGGTTGCTGGGACGGCGCATCCTGATACCCCGCGTTATACCAGGCTACGGGCTTCCCGTAGTTAGGCCGGGCTTCCCGGTTGCTGGGACGGCGCCTCCTACTAGTTGATAAGTCCGTACCGCGTTATACCGTAAGACCGTTTTGTAAATACCGCGACTTGTTTGTACCATAAGACCGCTTTGGGTCTCCGCGTCCTAAGGGACTCTAGCCCCGTTGTATATACCGCGACCTGTTTATATCATACGACCGCTTTGGTCTCCGCGCTCTAATAGCTTGAGCCACGCTCGCTTCCCGAGCTCCACGCGCGAAACGCTACACGCAAAAACTCTGTACGCATCGCGCTTGCATGTCGCATTGTGAATACCATCTGCTCCCGCGAAACTCTGTACGCAAATTTCTGTACGCACCACTCTTGCATGACGCATCGCGAATAACACCCGCTCACGCGAAACCCTGTACGCACCGCTCCCGCCTGCTGCATTGTACATAGCTTTCAGTGTTAAATATCTTTAATAATAACCGCTTGAATAAACCTAATTGTTTAAACCGCTTATATCAAGGTGAAGTAAGTTGGAGTTTCCCCCTTTTCCCGAATCCTGGCACCGGCGAGCCTTGATCCGTGGCGTACGGGAAAGGTGAACCGTTACAACATAATGAATACGATTATAAAAATTATATGAATATTGAAAATGAAGGTGAAAATGAAGATGAAGAAAATAGCATTATCGAAGAAATCAACTATGAAGACGAAGGAAAAACTTTAAATAAGGAAGGAAATAAAAATAAGAATAAAATTAAAAATAAAGACAAGATAAAAAATAAAACTGAGGAAAAATAAAAAATTGAACGATTCAAAAATTCTTGAAGAGGGAAATTACCAAACCTCTCCTGAAAGAAGAAAATGATAATGAATTAAAAACCTCTCATGTTACAATAAAAGACCTCCTGGAAGAGGCTCAAAAATATAATTTAAAAATTAAAAATTTGAATCTACGAGATATGAAAAATAAAAACAAACCATCTTCAAAAATCCTTACATCATTGTTAAATAAATCTCAAGAAATTTTAGAGAAAGTCATGCAAAAACGTAAAACAAGATATAAAGCAAAACAAGAAGTTGAAAATTATAATTTGCATAATTGTCTAACAA